CGGGGACCCTGGAAAGCCGTCTTGGTAACAGGGTCCAGCAGCATGCCCTGACAGTCGAACCTATGCCTGACGCCTGCAATGAAATCCGCCTGTAGCAGGGAAAAAAGGGCATCAGCAATTGAGTCCCCTGGCCGTGTGCCAGCTCTTGTCCGGATCACATTGCCGCCCTCCTTCATGGTGAAAAATGACCCGGTGAAATAGGCCTGGAGGAGTGCCCTTTCGTGATCATGAGCATGCTCCATGAGGTCGGTGTCCGTCAGCCACTTGCAGACGATGTGGAGCGAGGCCGGTGCGACACCCAGCTGAGACAGGATCTGGCAGACCTGGCGGTCGTCATGTAGGCCTTTTGTGAAGGCTTGCCTAAGAACCCGATAGTAGGCCGAGGACACATCGAGGAAAATCGCTGCATTCGACACTCCCAAGGCTGCTGCAGTAGTCGCGTGCACCCTCACGACTTGATGTGCACCTTGAAGAAGCGATTGCGGTATTCCTCCCTGATGTAGTGGATCATTGGGGAGCTGCTTGAGGATCGCCGGTCGTAAGTGCCGTCGCAATATCTTGCCTGGACCAGCAAGTAGAGCGATAGCTCTATAGTTGGCAATAACTGCCGGCGACCCCTTCCCCTTAAATAACGTACACAGCACCGTATGTTTAAACTGGATGGGTTCAGACAGCCTGATGTGTGTCTTGTAAAAGGCAGGTAGCCAAAGGCTGGTAGACTTGGCGGGGGCCACTTTCCAGACCCAATCCGGAAGGGCGTCAGCCCCTGGGGCTTTCCCTGCTTTACATTTGCGGAAGTCGGTCTCCACGTCCACCCAGGCCGGGAGGTGTTTCGGCAGGAAACTGCCAGTCACACCGGTGCAAGCATCCGGGCCATCCAAGACCAACCGCTCTTCAACGATAACTCCAGCTTCCAGATCTGCGAAGTGCTTCTGCTGCCGTTTCAACCGCTGGGTGGGGTCATCATCGGCTTCGGCATCCACGACCAGCTTGGAGAAGGGCTTGAGGACTCGTTTGCCAGGTGGCCGGAGGGCCCTGAGAGCCGCAAAGAAAGCTTTGGCGTTAAACGGGTCGTGTGCGTCCTGAAGCCGGGCCTGGGCCTGTCTGACATAGTTTCCTTTGTCAACCGCAAGGGCCTGTCGCAACTGCTTCTGGACATGACCCAGGGTATCTGCAACCCATTGGCGCAAAGAGGCCACATCCCGGCACGACCAGCCCTCAGAAGAGACAGCAGGCCGCGCAGAGGCACGTCGGTAAAGGAGCGCTTGATGCAGCTGTTTCAGGCCGCGCAAGGCAGATCGACAGCCTTTGCTCCTGTCCAGGAGAATTCGTGTAGGTTCAGAGACAAAGGCACGACAGCGTCGGCGAGGCGGTGGCTGGCATCGGCGACCAGCTTCCTTGATGGCCTGGAAGACCAAATCGACGTGTTTATGCACGCTAACTCCCCACTCAGGACATGGGATAGCCTCAATGGCCTGTCGAAGCCCGTCGAGGGAGGCAGCCGGCCATTGCTGAGGATCACGCGGGAAAAGCGGGGTGGGCCTGGCAGGGTCAGGGCGGCCGGAGAACCGCAGTCGAACCTCGACCTGTGCCGGGATGTGATCTCTGTTAAGCAGCTCAAAATCAACCAGAGTAGAAGGAACGCAGCGGTGGCAACCCCACTGGGCAGGTACACCAACGAAGTCAATGCGGTATCCTACCCCGGACGGGGAGAACCACGTGGGCTCACGGGCCCCCGGATCACACAGACCGTCCCCATTGTGCATTGTGGCAGGAAGGCAAACCTCCATGTTATCAGCCCAATCTCGTAGGAAAGCTCCCGCGGGGGTCTCATTGTCAGCGGCATGCGAACCAATGCCCTCTGAAGTGGTGGACCCCAGCTGTGCATTTGCATCTAGAAAAGCGAGGACTCTGCCCCGGTGGGATTGAAGCCAGGGCGCACTGGAAAAGGAATGCCACCACTTTTGCACAGCTTGAGCAGAAAGCCCAGAGTGGGGCGCATGAGCACACACGCAAACGACCTGCAAGAAGGGGGCTCGAACTTGTACACAGATGAGCTGAGCCTCAGCGTGCAAGCAGGTCAGGTGTGCGGGCTCCAAGAAGAGGGGGCGACCACGACACCATCCGTACGGAACACGGGTGTTGAAGAGAAGGGTCGCGCCCCCTTCGCCGTTGCACGCGGCTGAGGCGAACTCCGCAAAAACGGCACCCTTGCATTGAGTCTCCAGTGTGGTCCGAGTTTCTTGCAACCCTGCAATCAGGACCTGCCGGTCCAGAAGTTGCTGGAAGACAAGCTGCCGCTTGTCTTTCAATGTCTGGACATTGCAGGTGACCAGTCGCAGCCTGAGATCAGCAACACTCGTCGGAACGGAAGGGGCAGTGGCCCTCGGAAGGAGGTCCTCAGGAACTTCATCGGGAGGCTCGTAGGCACCGGCAAGCAATTGATCGAAGGCCGGAAAACATGCCCCTTGATAACCCGTCAACCAAGCCAAGGGGAGCAAGGGCGAGTCCAGCAGCCTCCAGATGACATGAGGCAGGGGGCAGCTTGCCAGGAGATCGCCGGCCCCGGCCTTAGCGACACTGTCGACTACCTCATTAAAGAAAAACCCGGAATGGCTGGGCAGCCATTCCGCCCGAAAATTCAACCCCTCATGCCACGCAAGGACAGCAATTGAGCGAAGGCGGTGTGCAAGGCTGACATAAGAAGGCGCAGTATGCGGCGAGCATGTGCCATTGAGGATGGCGCCCGCCCCTGCGCAATCATACCAAATGGTTATGTCGAGCCCCTTGGGTAGGGTGAAACACCACAGCAGAGCAACCAGGCAGGACACAAGCTCTGCATCAAAGGATGTATTGGCTGTGCCTGTGGGCCTGGCAAGGAAAGGAGCTAGGGGCCCACCGGCGAAGCCCCCGA